ACATCCGGTCCCATACAGGTCTGCCTGGTCCTCTAGCCCAAGGCAATGCTGAGATTGATCAATTATTGATTGGAAGTGTGTTGCAGGCCTCAGAATTTCATAAAAAGCATCATGTCAATAGTAAAGGCCTAAAGAAAGAATTTTCCATTACTTGGCAACAAGCTAAGGACATTATAAAGAGATGTCCTACTTGTTCTTTCTATAATCAAACACCGTTGCCTGCAGGGAGTAACCCAAAGGGTACTAAGAGAAATGAAATCTGGCAGATGGATGTGTTCCACTTTATGGAATTTGGTAAATTAAAATATGTACACCACACCATAGACACGTATTCAGGTTTTCAATGGGCTACTGCCCTGAGCTCAGAAAAGGCTGATTCCGTAATCACACATTTATTGGAAGTTATGGCCATCATGGGTATACCTGCGCAAATAAAGACAGATAATGGTCCAGCATATGTATCTAAGAAAATGAAACGCTTTTTTGATTATTATAATATAAAACACATTACAGGTATACCAAATAATCCTACAGGTCAGGCAGTTATAGAAAGATCAAATCATACTATAAAGGATATGCTGAACAAACAGAAAGGGACTGAAAATACCCCCAGAAATAGATTACATAATGCTTTATTAACCTTGAATTTTCTTAACGCTAATGAGAAAGGAACGACAGCAGCAGAAAGACATTGGATAATGGAAAAGTCTGCTGAACTAAATCAACCGATTTATTTCAAAGATGTGCTGACCTCTCAGTGGAAGCCAGGAGATGTGCTACGTTGGGGCAGGGGTTTTGCTCTTGTTTCCACAGGAGAAGAAAAATTGTGGATACCATCAAAATTAATAAAGTTTCAATTTGAAGAGGAGAAACCTCTTGGAAAGGAGAAATGACAACTCATCCACAACGATGATATTCATACAGGTGGTAAGAAAAACATATAGAATGGGGGCAGGGTTCTGTTCTTATCTCCACAGGAAAACACTCATCTTTGAGAAATTCAAGGGACCCTGGATGTTTGGATACTGACAGATGGAAAAATACCTGCCCAATAGGAAATATCAAGACAACTGAATGGGTTGTGTAAGTAATATTAAACCATATTTCTAAATTTATAAAGCTGGTTTTGAAGTTGGACTCTGGCTCAGTCCCTCTCCAATTCCAAGCCTGTTAGTAAGAGAAAAACTCAGAGTTTCTGGAGTTTCTGTCTCATGTCAAGAGCCATGATATGGGACAGAAAGAAATATGAGTTTAGAAAACATCTTTGCTTTTCTTCATATCTATCATACTTTTTATTGAATATATCTATCATGTCTTTCATTGAATATATATATATATGTCTATATATGTCTATATGATTAATATTTAAGTTTTTCATAATGAACAATGAGTTTTTCCTGAAGTGACATTTGAAGTTTCCAGGAAGAAGATGGGGCCCCATAACAACAACTCCACCTGGTTGATATGACGTCATGATACTGATAGCGCTACTACAAGACCTGCTTTTGGTACCAGCTGCACAAGACAGTTCCAACTTGGTTAGCTGAAATGGTGCACATCTTATACAACATTTTGGCCAGACCTGCACAAAATACTCAGAGACTATTGGCAATTTTAAAAGGCATTGATCTTGAAATTTAACCATCATTTCACTTTCACAGGATCCCCCAGAAAGAACGTCGCCCCCATGACAGCTGGAAGTAATTCTAGAGGACAACGTCCCCTCTCCCAGTAAAGTTTGCCCTTGGGTTTAGGGACATCATTTAGGGGTTGATTATAATTAATATACAATTGAGGGTTGGGGGAGGAATTTTATACGCTCAGGGATCATTTTGAAAAAAAAAAAGAGGGATGATGGGATAATAGATTTGTAATTGTGAGTTACTGTTTTTAGACAAATACATTGGTATAGATTCTTGTATATTGATACAAAGTTAAATTATATTGAATATTGTATGCATGCATGTTTCTACCTCTGTTTAAAACATTTTTTATGTATTGACATATATTGTATTGATATATATATATAAATATATATTGTATATATTTACCATATTGCAGTGTACATTTCTACCTCTGATTAAGATACTTATATAATGATTGTGTATTGATATATATTTACCTACTGCAATATATATTTGTACATTGTTTATATTTGGAGGTCATTGTCCTCATTTGTTTCACAGTCGTTTATTGTCTTAGTCTTTAAGTTAGATAGATATTGAGAATTATATAGACTAATAGTCATCTAAGTTTGTCATTTATAATAGACTAATCAGGTTCTTTAGATATATAGAGATTATACTCAGTATAGATAGATAATCTTCAACTTCTTCAAAGAGCTGTAGAAAATGGCCTTTAATCTAACTCAGAGTTTTGTGGTAGTGAGACACAATTGCTCCTGGCAACACCACTCTATTCCCGAGAGAATGTTGAGCACCAAAGACACTCCACCTGGAGCCTTCTTTTTGGCAGAACTGGCCTTGGGGCAAAGAAATGCCCATACCTCAACGACTGACAAAGAAACAGAGCGTGCATCAATGGATAAAACAGGGCTGTCATATCCTGCCAAGACAGGGTAAGATAGTTTTGAAAAGTTGCTTGCCTTTGAAAATGGTATGTCAGTTATGTTAGGCCTTAGCCAAAGTTGGTTGCTTCAACGCTGCTAACATGATTTTGGGTGATTGCCCAGGTAGCCAGTTGTCTCTGTGATTTGTTGCATGTTTTGGAAGTTGTTTTACTAAACTTCCTAAATACCCAGGTAACATTATTTCCCTTCTCAGATCTTTGATGGGGTTGAAGACTATATAAATGTAGTTACTTTTTCTCATGACTTGGCCAAGTTATTTATTATACAAGACCTAAGCTAGTTAGAATAGGATATTTGTACTTATTGTATATAATTTCATAGTAGGTTTAAAACTCTCTTATTTAAACAAAAGGGGGAGGTGTTACGGGAGGTCCTCCCACTCCTCCAGCCTATCACCGCTGAGGTACCAGCCCATTGGGGCGTGGTTTCTCTCCCTTTAAAAAAGAGGCCACTTCCCTCTCCTCCCTCTCTTCACTTCCTGCTCTGCCGGCGACTAGACTCCTTTCCTGGTTGCTTAGAGGGCTGTTGCCTGGGACAGTGATCTGTAAGTTTTTTCCCCTTTAAATAAATACCACCCTAATAATCATAACCCCGAATTGGTGTGGCATTGTTTGTGACTTACGCCTTCATACCATTTGAATGAGGTAACATGTAGTGTTCACTAGGATAAATATGGACCACCTTGAATCTGTTTGTCTGATTGCCAGTGATAAGTTTGCCTCACTGAGATCCATTAATGAAATTTTCTCCTCCATGCCTTATAATTTTTCGGGTGGAGAAAGGCACCACTACAACATGCTAGAAATAAAATAAACAAAAAGGAGATATAGGAGACAAGATTATGGCTACCAATTTTTACATCATGAAAATCAAAGATCTCTCAAGCATCATAATGATGTATCTTGGGGTCAGATGCAAAGAAGTAACCTCACTCTAAATCACTTATAAGAAAACATAAGAAAGATCATAACTGGAAATAACTGGACACATAAAGGTTGAACAGAGGTCAAAGAAACAAACAGCTTGTCTGTATCAGGGTTTTAATTTCTGTGAAGCAATACTATGACCATGGTAACTCTTATAAAGGAAAACATTTAATTGTGATATGGCTTACAGTTCAAAGGATGAGTTCATTTTCATCATGACAAGGAGCATGGCAGTTTGCAGGTAGATAAGGTGCTAGAAAAGCATATGAGAGTCCTATATCTTGCAGGCAATAGGAAATGGTCTCAATGTCACAATCCCTGCAAGGATGTCACACCCAGTCCAACAAAGCCACATCTCCCAATAGTGCCATTCCCTATGAGCTCATGGGGACCAGTTACACTCAAATCACAACAAAGGATGAACAAATCTGAAAAGCTCTCGACACAAATCACCCAAAATAAAGACACAAATTATTGAAATGTGAGACATTAAAGAGATGAATGTGATCTATGGGAACTCTAGGGCTGTAAGGCGACCTTGTACTCCAGAGTCCCGACATTCCTCAAATAGATTGCTCAATTCACAAAACAGACACCAGTATTGACATGAGGTTACCAAACATGCACTATCTGCTGCCTTCCTGCTTCTATACCCTGTGTGTGATGATAAATTCAGGAATTTACAAAACATGTAAAGAGATTGATAAATGTACAATATTGAAAGAGTAATATAGTCTCTTCCAACACGAAAATCCTAGGACCAACACATTGTTTATAATGGATCTTACCATCTGACCATAAAACAAAATGGATGTCACAGATTCTCAAGCTGCTTCACCAAATGGACAAAAAAAAAAAAGATTGTTCCAAAATAGTTTAAAAATGCAGTATTATCCAGATGTCAAAACTATAACAATGACAACATCAATAAACACACATACACACACACTCAAAATGTATGTGCTCATATCCTAAAAGAACATCCACATGTACATCTGAAATGTGATTCCTTGGATTGGTCGATGACATCTTAATCAAAAAGGAAGAATTACAAGCACAAGGCAAATGTTGCTGCAATGTAATAGAGCAGATGAAAATAACTGAAGTTCACATCATACATATGCATGTATACCTGTGTCACAGGGAATTTCCTTACTTTGCAGCTAAAGTTTCAAGTTCAAAACAGAAATCAGAGTATAACATAGGAAAGCAAAATTATTGAAAAAGAACAAATTAAAAAAATGAACACAAAAAGAAATCAAGGCCTCAAACACTCATAGTCCATGAGTCAAAAGAAAACACAGAATATGAAACCAGTAACAACAGAAAGGAAAACTCACAACTTCAAGGTCCATCAGTCTAGGAAATCCCAAGTGTATCAGGACCAATGCTAGAGATCAACTGCTCTTCATCCAAAACAAGTTTCTTAGCCACTTCAGGATGAACCCTGGCACACTGCAATGTCTTCAATGAACAGATTTCTGTCATTTCACAGAAATCTTGGCAGTGACGTCGCTGCCAAGGTTGGACAGTAACAGCAGGGAGTAAAACAATGTAGTTTCTCTGTCTAATCCCAGGTGCCGCATTACTAGTATCATGGCAGTGAACAAATTTTTAACAAGATGAAGCTTAAGGAACAAAGGGCATCCCTTCTGCCATGATTTCAAAGGGCAGAGAAGGTATGGCAGCTAGAGGAACTCATGAAGATGACTTGGAGAAGATAAGGGTGAAGCAGCTGGATACATGGATTTGGCGAAACCTTTCTGCACAAAGTTACCAAATTCTTCCTGTTGCTTCCTGAAGCACTAAGATTTTATGACATCTCCAAACAATATGCACTCTGTGCAACAGACACATGAGAAAGTATACAGCCATTCACATCAAAACTTGAGGAGTACTTTTTTGTAAACAGAGACTGCTCATTCATTTCTCAGCTACCCATATCAAAATAATCACACAGAAACTATATTAATTACAACACTGCTTGGCAAATTGTTCAGGAGTTTTTCTAGCTATCTTTTATACCTTGAATTAACCCATTTCTATTAATCTGTGCATTACCACAAGGCTATGGTCTTACCAGTAAAATTCTGGTGTGTCGTTCTCCTTTGGTAGCTACATGGCCTTTCCTTGACTCCACCTATTCCCTCTATATCTCTGTTCAGTTTTCATGCATGGCTTTATTCTGCTAAGTCGTTGGCTGAAACAGCTTTATTCATTAGCCAATAAAAGCAATACATATGCAGATGGACATCCCACATCATCTCTCTTTTTCTGTCTAATTAAAAAGGAAGGTTTTAACTTTAACATAGTAAAATTACATATACAAACCAGTTATTAAGTAAGAATATTAGTTCATTTACATTTGACAAATTAAGGAACTCTATCATCTATCTTAGTAAGTCCAATATTTTATAACTACTTGCTCTTTTATAATATCTAAGGAAAACTGTAACTATCTATCTTCAACTCTTCAAAGATCACAGAAGGATATTATATTACATAAGAAAGCAGGAAGTGCATTATAAGCAACTTCAAAAACTCTAGAATTCACAGAGACAACTTGCTGGTTCAACAGTCACTCAAAGTTTGTCTATAACAGTGGAGCATCCACACCTTACTAAACCTGGATGGAGGTGGGCGGTCCTTGGACTTCCCACAGGTCAGGGAACCCTGATTGCTCTTCCAGCTGATGAGGGAAAGGGACTTGATCAGGGGAGGGGGAAGGAAATGGGAGGCGGTGGTGGGGAGGAGGCAGAAATCCTTAATAAATAAATAAATTAAAAAAAAAAAACAGTGGAGCATCCATCATCAGCCTATAAACCCATAATATATGGCAGATTTTTCTACAAAGCAGGAAATTTGAAGATCTGTTCATATTATAATTGCTAAGTTCATCAGCTACTTTCTTCAGTGTCCAGCAGAATATCTGGCTTTTTTTTCTGTGAAGTAGAAACCCTGAAGGACCATCTTATCTTTTAGAAGGTTTAGTAGTGACTTTTCTGTCGGTCTTCCATGTCCACTTCATACAGCATACCTTTAAGCAGCCCAGGCAGGAGCAGTTTCTTGATAAAATGGCTTGCCTTGTCACATTGAAGGCAAATTTTATAACGAGTTTCTTCAATGCCTTCCAACCTCTCTGAAGTAATTGGTGCTGCCAGAAGCAGACATGTCTCACTGTCAAGAAAAGTCTAAGTCCTTCAAAGTTTTTAAATTCTATATTCTGTAGGTCTTTGAAGTCTTGAAGACTGTCTTTCTAACTAAAATATCTCTGTATATCTAGAAAACCTAACTAACATGACTACAAGTTTGACTGTTATAAATGACTATCTATTAATCTGTAATTTTAATTATATATTACATTTTTAATGAGATGTATACACATAATACCTTAACAAGAGAAGAAATATATATACACAGTATAACAAAGTCAACCTTAAATTTGTATCAAAAGACCAAGATTTGTACCAATGCAAAGTATTCATCACTATATCATATCCCTTTTTTTCTTAAAAAAGACCTTGATTGTGGTCATTAATAATTTAGAATCAACCTCCTTTAAATGAAAACAAACATTTATAAACAATCCTTTTGGGAACTTGTACATAGTTTTATGGAAACTTTTTCCTGCTGTTTACTGAGCAAAGTATTTTTAGGGTTTTCAGAGACCTTTCAAGAGGTCTTATTCCATAAAACCACATTAGCCTGGAAGGAATCCACAGGTTCTCATCTTCTGTGGAAACAAAAACAGAACCTCTTTTCGAAAGCAACATATCCTTAGACTCAAATTTTGAAGTCAAGGCACTTATATGTTGGTTTAACTCATCATCCCCCAGAATCAAATGTCTCTCTGCACTCAAAATATTGAAAGAAAGCACAATAATATACATAATCCAAACTCTCTGTGTATGTTCTATCTTTATGTGGTTTATTTTTCTTTGCTCCTTTAATCTATGACTGCCTGTATTCTTTTATATTACTTTTACTGTCTCTTTAAATACTTTATTTTGATACCATTTATTTCTTTTTATAACTGTCTATATTTTATCCTTTCTATCCCAAGCCTACATGTATTTTTAATTGTCTTTATTGAGCTATATATCTTTTCTGCCTCCCCTCCATTCTTCTCCCCTCCCCTTCTACCTTCTCCCATAACAACGATGCTGCCAATTTACACATGAGATCTTTCTGTTCCACTTCCCATTTACATACATTTTCTAAACACATTGTGTCTGGTTTAGAAGCTTTTGATGTCTGAATCTGTCCTATCGTGTATCTGAAATCCTTTTCTGACCAGGAGCACTTTTTTTTTAATTGCTGAGAGGGTAGACTAGGACCAACTTCATGATCTTGCCTGCTTTCTTCACTCAGTCCAACATGGCAGAGGCATGTTCACAACCTCTCTGAGCAATGTATACACTGCTCCAGCTCCAGGGACACAGCAGGTCTATGTCTCCATTAAGCAATTTGTAACACAATGCTCATAAACCCCATTTAAGTACAGGACCTCCTTAAAGAGCCAGAGTTTGTTCTCCCAGCATGAACCAGGAAACAATCTCTTAAAGAAGCCACACCGTTTTTGCTACTTATGCTGAGTTAGGAAACCTTCTCTTTAAGGAGTCACACGTCTGCATGCGACTACCAAGAAGCTGTGCTTGAGTCTGGTCTTTTGTGTCTAGAATTCCTTCCCAAACTTTCTTAGTTTTCATTCTGATATAGCTGCCCCACACTGCCACCATTTATAACCAGTGAATGCTTGTTCATTTCCTTGCTGCTCATTCCCAAATAATAAAATTATGTATATTATGACACTACTTGAATAATAGTTCAGGCATTTGTCTAAAAAATGGAAAAAAAATTCTGAATAAACTTTTTCATTATCTTTTAATTTAATAGTGTACATATATTACAAGGTTCATAAAAGCAGAAGTGATTTTTTATCTCAGGCTAAGATTTTTGCCTACTTCCCCATCTGCCTGTATCACTGTGAGATTCATTACTTTCCCAGATGGCACAGTAATAGTCAGCCTCATCCTCTGCTTTTAGCTGAGAGATGTGCAACTCTGCAGCATTTTTGGAGGTATCTTTGGATCCAGAGACTCTGTTGGTGACTCCAGGCCCGAGGTTCTTGCTTGAGTCTGAGTAGTAGTACAGTAAAAACCGAGGAGGGCTCCCCTGCATCTGCTGGTACCAGTAAATATCTTTACTGCCAACGCTGATGCCACTCTTCAGGGAGCAAGTAAGTCTGACTGTTGATCCAAGAGTTGCAGAGATGGAGGGTGGCTGTGTCATAACAGATTCAGAAAAAGAACCTGCAAAAGAAGACACCACAGTGAACAGTGGAGCTGACGTGCAAATTCTTGTGGATCTCAAACAGAATGGACTGAGTGTAGGAGTTCTCTCAAGTACTAATAGGCTTGTCCCTACCTGTACAGTAAGATAGAAGAATAAACACAAGAGGAGTCCAAGCCATGATAGGCAAGCACAGCTTCTTCTTAGACCAGGGTCTTTTGTCTGGGCTGTCTCATTATCTCATTGCCAGGGATCTCACAGAAGAGCATCTAGTCATGCAAATGAGTTGTCATTAACTCCTCCTAGTGGCTAATTCACAGCAAGCCAGGGGAAGTGAATTACACTGCCCCATGGAATATAAAGCAGGCGGTAACCTGCATGTGTTACCACACTCAGGACTCTGTGCAAGGACATCTTTCAGATCCATAGCAGGACACTCGCTGATTCCTTACAAAAAGTAGAGGACTTAGTCATTGGACCCCATGTGTGCTAGGGCACATGCCCTGCAGAAACTACAGAGAGAGACTCAGTCCACATCTTTAGGTCCCAGAGCAACCACCAATTTCACAATTGTTCACTTTGTCAGTTCTGCTGTTTTATTCACATTATATTTCAGGCACATGAAAGGAAAACTACAGGAGGCACAGCAATGGGTTCTAGTAAAGCCATCACTGATACATTTCTCTGATGAATGTGGACAGGCAGATACAGCACACAGGCAGTCAACACAGAAGAACTTGCCAACCCGCACCCACCCAGGAGCTAAAGAGGGGAGAGGAAGTCACTGGGTTTCATTTTATTATTGTCATTATTTAAACAATGAAATGAAGTGACTTATATCTGGCTGGGAAAACACTTCTAAAACTTGAAGAGAAATGGTCATTTAGAAAGGGACATCAACGGATCGAGAAATCAAAGGTTTTGTAGTGTTGGGAGATGAAGGAAAGATAAGGTTTGTTTTACAACATTTAATAAGAAATTTGAGAATTTAATATTTCTTACAGGACTGGTTCTTATTTGACTCAGAGTGGTAGCCAAGAAGATGTAATGAATGAATATGACTTTTTTGTATCATTGTTTGGTATAGACACCAGAACTGATTTTCATGCTGAAGGTGCAGGTAAGTCAGCAAAGCTAACAGAGATGCAGAGGCAGGATGAAGGACTGGGAAAGGATCCTTGCAGTAACGGAGACTAACAGATGGCAGGTGAGGTGAAGTGTAGTAGTGATCTGTGCTTAAGACACAGATATGGCCGGGGTGACAGCAGAGCTCTTAGGCCTGTCCCTGCCCTGCAGTGAGAAAGAGGCAGGTCAAGAGAAAATATGTGGAGATAGATTGATCTCCACAGAGAGTTAGGTTTCCCCAGGTCTCCATTCCCACCTCTGCAGAGACGTGGCTCTTCCTTCAGGTATGTTTCCACAGTTGCTGCCAAGACTTCTCACTGGGAGCCAGACTTCTGGAGCTCAGTTCACATGACAAACTGAAGCAGAGATAGGAAGGCTTTCAGTAGTGAGAGAGTCCTGGGAGGAACTGCTACCTAAGACTGAGCCCCTTTCCTCCTGAGCTCTACCAGGAGAGAAGGACCCCACTGTTGAGTCTCCTCGGTGAGCACTGGATGAGCACTAATGCCAGCTTCTTTGAGTGAGTGGAAGTGATATCATCCACAATCCCACAGCGCCCCCTGTTAGCCAAATTATCCAAAGTTACCAAAGTCCAGAGTCTCAGAATCTAGATGGAATTCTACTACTCAACAGATCAAATTCTAAAAACTCATACTCAGAATCTGATCGCTATATCTGAAATGGACACCATTTGATGTGGGTAAACGTTGTCCTATCTGGAAAAAATCTTTGACACTGTTACAAAAATATGCAGAAAAAATAAAGTATTATCTCACCCACAGAATAATGGCAAATACCAGATTACTTCAGTGGTATGTGATTTAATGTGAAGATATATATTTTTGGATCCACACAGCATTTGTTATTGGGAAAATATACTCCAATTTCTGCCATATTCCATAGGCACTATAATCTCCACCTCTGGAGATTACAACAGTGCATTGCCAGAGCCCTTCCAACAGTGATTCTCAGTTTACACATCTGAACTTCCAAAGTTCCATATGTGCCACAATAAAGTGCAGTCAGCCCCATATATTATCAGACACTCATTTTTTAGTTTTCTGCACTCAGTTTTATTATCTACATATTTATTAAGTGGATGTAGAAATTCCAAAACCCATCACTCATTCTTTTCCTACAACCCCATTCTCCCTACATCCTATCACTTTGCCTTAGATAGCAACACCAGAGGCACTCTCTATCTGGACACATATTTGTCATGCTGATCAGGAATGCAAGTAGGTAAACTTCATCTTTTTCCCACTCTCCAATTCTAATCCCTCAGTCTTATCCTCCTGTTCTTTTTCCTGTCCCAATTTTTGAAAGTAAGTCAGTCTTCTCTTGCAGCCTACTACTAATCTTTTCCCTTTGTGTCAGCAATCTACACTAGAGACAGTCTGTCACCATAACCCTATTGGCCATGCTGGTCAGGGAAACAAGTAAGCAATCTTGAATTTGCTTCCTCTGCTCCATTTCCAAATGCCTACTCTCATGTCCAGTTGATCTATCAGACCACCTGCTGGGGAGGGCTGTAAATTTACCATATGAAAAATAATGACTTTTTCTCTGGTAAAGAATATTATTTTGGTCAGGGTGTTCTAAAACCACATTATTCCTGTAGTTTCCAATTTTTCTCCTACCATTGTTGCGGGAGGTCCTCCCACTCCTCCAGCCTATCACCGCTGAGGTACCAGCCCATTGGGGCGTGGTTTCTCTCCCTTTAAAAAAGAGGCCACTTCCCTCTCCTCTCTCTCTTCACTTCCTGCTCCTCCGGCAACTAGACTCCTTTCCTGGTTGCATAGAGGGCTGTTGCCTGGGACAGTGATCTGTAAGTTTTTTCCCCTTTAAATAAATACCACCCTAATAATCATAACCCCGAATTGGTGTGGCATTGTTTGTGACTTACGCCTTCATACCATTTGAATGAGGTAACATGTAGTGTTCACTAGGATAAATATGGACCACCTTGAATCTGTTTGTCTGATTGCCAGTGGTAAGTTTGCCTCACTGAGATCATGAATGAAATTTTCTCCTCCATGCCTTATAATTTTTCGGGTGGAGAAAGGCACCACTACAACATGCTAGAAATAAAATAAACAAAAAGGAGATATAGGAGACAAGATTATGGCTACCAATTTTTACATCATGAAAATCAAAGATCTCTCAAGCATCATAATGATGTATCTTGGGGTCAGATGCAAAGAAGTAACCTCACTCTAAATCACTTATAAGAAAACATAAGAAAGATCATAACTGGAAATAACTGGACACATAAAGGTTGAACAGAGGTCAAAGAAACAAACAGCTGGTCTGTATCAGGGTTTTAATTTCTGTGAAGCAATACCATGACCATGGTAACTCTTATAAAGGAAAACATTTAATTGTGATATGGCTTACAGTTCAAAGGATGAGTTCATTTTCATCATGACAAGGAGCATGGCAGTTTGCAGGTAGATAAGGTGCTAGAAAAGCATATGAGAGTCCTATATCTTGCAGGCAATAGGAAATGGTCTCAATGTCACAATCCCTGCAAGGATGTCACACCCAGTCCAACAAAGCCACATCTCCCAATAGTGCCATTCCCTATGAGCTCATGGGGACCAGTTACACTCAAATCACAACAAAGGATGAACAAATCTGAAAAGCTCTTGACACAAATCACCCAAAATAAAGACACAAATTATTGAAATGTGAGACATTAAAGAGATGAATGTGATCTATGGGAACTCTAGGGCTGTAAGGCGACCTTGTACTCCAGAGTCCCGACATTCCTCAAATAGATTGCTCAATTCACAAAACAGACACCAGTATTGACATGAGGTTACCAAACATGCACTATCTGCTGCCTTCCTGCTTCTATACCCTGTGTGTGATGATAAATTCAGGAATTTACAAAACATGTAAAGAGATTGATAAATGTACAATATTGAAAGAGTAATATAGTCTCTTCCAACACGAAAATCCTAGGACCAACACATTGTTTATAATGGATCTTACCATCTGACCATAAAACAAAATGGATGTCACAGATTCTCAAGCTGCTTCACCAAATGGACAAAAAAAAAAGATTGTTCCAAAATAGTTTAAAAATGCAGTATTATCCAGATGTCAAAACTATAACAATGACAACATCAATAAACACACATACACACACACTCAAAATGTATGTGCTCATATCCTAAAAGAACATCCACATGTACATCTGAAATGTGATTCCTTGGATTGGTCGATGACACCTTAATCAAAAAGGAAGAATTACAAGCACAAGGCAAATGTTGCTGCAATGTAATAGAGCAGATGAAAATAACTGAAGTTCGCATCATATATAAGCATGTATACCTGTGTCACAGGGAATTTCCTTACTTTACAGCTAAAGTTTCAAGTTCAAAACAGAAATCAGAGTCCAACATAGGAAAGCAAAATTATTGAAAAAGAACAAATTAAAAAAATGAACACAAAAAGAAATCAAGGCCTCAAACACTCATAGTCCATGAGTCAAAAGAAAACACAGAATATGAAACCAGTAACAACAGAAAGGAAAACTCACAACTTCAAGGTCCATCAGTCTAGGAAATCCCAAGTGTATCAGGACCAATGCTAGAGACCAACTGCTCTTCATCCAAAACAAGTTTCTTAGCCACTTCAGGATGAACCCTAGCACACTGCAATGTCTTCAATGAACAGATTTCTGTCATTTCACAGAAATCTTGGCAGTGATGTCACTGCCAAGGTTGGACAGTAACAGCAGGGAGTAAAAGAATGTAGTTTCTCTGTCTAATCCCAGGTGCCGCATTACTAGTATAATGGCAGTGAACAAATTTTTAACAAGATGAAGCTTAAGGAACAAAGGGTATCCCTTCTGCCATGATTTCAAAGGGCAGAGAAGGTATGGCAGCTAGAGGAACTCATGAAGATGACTTGGAGAAGATAAGGGTAAAGCAGCTGGATACATGGATTTGGCGAAACCTTTCTGCACAAAGTTACCAAATTCTTCCTGTTGCTTTCTGAAGCACTAAGATTTTATGACATCTCCAAACAATATGCACTCTGTGCAACAGACACATGAGAAAGTATACAGCCATTCACATCAAAACTTGAG